AAACATGGAATTATTTGATTAGGTGATAATGATCATTTGTACAGAAAGCTCTATGCAACATTTTTGGCATTCAAAAACTTATTTATTTCAAAGAGAATTTCTGATACTCCAGTGTCATCATCTTCTGTTTTCCCTTGCTTTAGATGATACTCTTAATTATTCTTCTGCATCAACTTTATTTTTACCATTATTTGATTTTAATGATTGTTGTAGTGTTTTTGTAGTCTTCGCCTCTATTTATCTTTAAGAGCTGCAGAAAATCAAAAAGGCTCAAACAAACTGTTCTGCAGTGACTAATCAAAAATTGCTTTTGTTCATGAAATCAGTTGGCTAAATTATCGCCTGTGGATATGAAGGTCATTAGTAACATGAAATTGCTTGTTGGATCCTCCGAAAGTAAAAGCTCGAGCGGCAGTTTTTCACTCAAATTTGATGGCCAAAAGGTAATCACTTAAAATGTTGAGACACTTCTGGTTAAATTATCTAGAACTTTACTTTATCACAGCAGAGCAACTAAACAAGTTCCAAGTTTTGATGAACATCTTTTGATAAATAGACCAAAAATGCAGCAAGAAAGGACCGAACTGGTGAGGAGGAGACATGGCAACTTTCACGATTTTACCCCATGATAGAGGTATGGCCAGAATATCAAGAAGTCTTAGGTTGTTAGGATCATAGATTATCTTCTACTGTACCAGATTATTGTTGACATTATCTATTGTGTTATAAATATTTCTAGAGTAAGTCACCGTGCTTCCTGCCCAACTCTGGTGGAGTATTGTTGACAATGCTAGCTCTCTAAGGCACATTAAATTGCTGATATAGTATACCTGGTTGAGATTGGTTTTAGTATAATTCATTCAGCTTGATACCTAGCATTGGAACATTACATAGCACTTTTTTATGGAAGGATAGAAACACCCTTCTTGTGAATCTACATGACTAGAAGCTTGATCTTGATCCCGGTCCTTAATTATCTTAATCTCAAGATAAACCTAACAGCTATGGAGACCACATTAGATTATATATCAGCACTTTTAGGGTAGATATCTGGTATACATTTGGTACCGTTGACAGGGGTTGCTGTTTCTATCGATATAACATGAGTACTCGAGGACAAATGCCAGATGGCAGCATAAAATTGGGAGACAGATAATTGCAACATCAGAAAATTGAGAAACTATTGTGTGAAATTTACGTATGTATGTGTTCATACAGCAAGCTAATTCTACTATAAAATCTGTGTGTATGGGAGATAGTAACATGGATGACTAAAGGACAGCATCGACCAAACTTTTGAAGAGAACAAGCATTGAGGTAAAAAACATGCATTTCTTCTCTCTCTCTCTCTCTCTCTCTCTCTCTCTCTCTCTCTCTCTCTCTCTCTCTCTCTCTCTCTCATGCACGTGCACATACATGCGTCTGTGTGCAGTCCCATTCACACATAAGACTGCAGAAAAATTTGAGTGGGTGGAAAAGTGAGATGCTTTGAAGATCATTTGGTTTCTGTTAATGCCCGTTTCACCTGTACTTTTTCCTTCCAAACATGAATGGGGCGAAAAGAGGCCATTATGTGAAGAAAGACAATGGCAAGAGCGTCTTTTTCCAACATCAAATTCTTAGATTATACATTTCTTTCATTGTAATTCTATGCCCAATTGTTTATTTGCTACGGCTTCTCCAGAAAAGGAATAAGAAAAATTGCTTTATCTGATATTATCTATGCTTCAGGAGCTTGTCGAGAACCTAAGCAAAGGTGAATTACCAAAGCGTGAGTATGCTTGTATGAACGATCCACAAGCTAATCAAGGGGTCCCTAGTAGTAACACTAAATCAGTACGAAAAAGTCAAGCTCCTGCTCCGCAGGCAGAAAAGAAGGCTCCTGCTCAGTCAATGAGATCCAGACGCACTGCCACATGGGCACGATCTCAACATTCTGATGATGGATATTCAAGGTTGTCTCACCTCTTTATTTGCATATGGATAGGGTTTTCTTCTGTTCAGTCAAGCACTCATTTGACAAGCACGAGACGATAAGTATATAAGCTGCAGATGTATATTATTATGTTAAACCAGTTGTAGCTATATCTTCACTCCAGTCTCCAGGTATTGTCCGAGACATGCTGAAATGCAAAGGAAACCTCGTAGTTCATTTAACATCCTACACGACAAAGCAACTTTTTTTGGATTTTGAAATTTTTTTGTTTGGTCAAAGACTTTGAATTTGATGTATATCGGTATTGTAACCATCTCTTTTACTTCTCTGCAGTGACTCAGTCTTGAAGCATGCTTCTTCAGATTTCAGGAAGATGGGGCAACGCATTTTTGTGTTTATCATAGGTGGGGCAACTCGATCTGAGGTAAATTTTCATTCCGACATGATTTTCATTTGGGGTTTCAATGCAAATCTTTGCTGGGGGAATGGTCTGCCAGTAAGTGGTTTATTATCTTATGAGCTTTTGATGGTCAAATTTTCAGCTAAGAGCTTGTCATAAGCTAACTACAAAACTAAGGAGGGAAGTCATCTTAGGTTCTACTAGTCTTGATGATCCCCCGCAGTATCTGACGGTAATATTATCTGCTTCTCTTTTTATTATCGAACCATTTTCAGACATTTGTGACATGGCAATTTCCTTCATGCTTTTCTTGTAGAGAATACATCCACAGAAAAATCTGAAAATGCAATGCGAAGTTCTAATTCTTCGTGACTAGTGTGGAATCAGATGAAAACTTCTTAAGCTCATCATAAGTTCTCTCAAAGTTGTCATCTGATAAGCAGTGCTTATAATTTGATTGATCCACCATAAGAACTTTGAAAGATATAGGATGATGAAGACAACTATTGTTTTGAGGACAGCGGCTTGTGCGTGATGGTAGTTTTAGCAGATCCAGATATGAAGTTTCGGATGAATATTAAGAGCAAAAATGTTTAGTTATTAATCAGTCTGAAAAGCCTATGCTGCTTCTCATGATGTCTTGGTCTTACAGAAACTGAAGCTACTATCTGAAAGTGATCTCTCATTAGAAGGTGTCAGAATCATGTAATGTTGAATCCTGACATTAGTCCTTTCTTGTTCATGCCAGCAGGTTGGTAATTCTTAATGATTTGCTTCACTTGTTCAGACATGTGTTAGTGTTTCGAAAATGAGGTCTCGTGAATTACGTGCTCCATTTTTTTCTGTCCAGCCTGTAAAAGACATTAGGTACAGTTCGCAAGGAATCAAAACTCGGGGATCGATGCAGCTAGGCTTCATCTGGGATGTGACTGAATATGGTTGGATGCAAGTATGACGATCATGCCATCCTTTCTGATTGGAAAATAACCCTTTCCTCAATGGATCCGGTGAAGTTGTTTTCACCAACTGAGAGTTGATCGACTCATCGTACGCATTGAAGAGCACATAAGATCAGGTCGTCATGCATCTTGTTGTGGGTTATATTTAGTCCATCAGATGCTGCATACCGAACTCACTTAGGGTTTAAGCCAAAATCAATCAGCAGAAGTTTATCATTAGCGTCGGGAATGTTGCCTCTACCATTTTGCTTATGAAGTCTCACGCAAGCCGACCATATTTCTCCGAAACTGTTCCCTCATCTGAAGTGTATGAGGATGTATATACCGGATTCACTAAACCTATAACATTATTCTGACCATTTTTAACATAGGCTTTGCATGATATAATTGCCATTGCAGGTTCTTTGGCAGTGGCCAGTACTTGATCATGCCTAAGCGGTCCTCCTTTGATACATGATAGCTTGAAAGCGTGCTTCAAATTTTCAAGCAATTTATCGTCGTGAATATGTTTATTAGGGACGGAAAAGCAATACCGCAATCCAATGCTTTACTCTCCCGTGAATCGTACAGTTGCAGGGTGATTATCTCTGTCGAATTCCCATCTATTCAACCACGGGATGTGTTTATAATAGCACTCTCCTCAGTGCTATATTCATGTCTCCGGCTCCGGCTCCGGCTCCAAAAGCTTCGAGCATGATTCTTAATGCTGGACATCGGACAGATGGATGCGAATTGTTTCCTGGTGCAATGCCTTTTTCCATCGTCTCAACTATCATGCTTCACGTGACATGGTCTGCAGCTCTTCATTGCTTTGATTCAGAGGAAGTTACAATGATTCTATCAGAGATTAATTTCAAGAAATCACTTCCCCCCGTTCAAGTAACGACTTTTTTTTTTATTTACTTTCCCACCAACATTTTAAATATTACTCAAATTTAAAAAATCATGAAGATATTGTTCGAAAATTTACGTTTTGATATGGGCTAAGGTCTAGAAAGAATTAAAAAAAATCAAGTGTAAAAGCTATTCCTTCCGCTAAATTTCTTGCCCTTTACAACTAAAATAAGCAAATTCAAAAGAATGTACACGTTTTATAGCATGTATCCCGCAAGAAAAGGCATAACGATTGATACCACGATATTAGTATTTCTATGAGCTAGTAAAAAGAGCACAAGCTTCGTGTTCGAAGAGAATTAATGAAAATATTAAGCTAAAATTTGAGCAAATTAAGGAACACCCGACAATAATCGTCTTGATTATCGCAAATTATTATTTTTGTCCATCAATAGTTTCAATTTGCTCGTATGATATTCTAAATGCATCCACGAGTCTGATACAAAATTTTCTTCGAATGTTTGAGATCGAACTGGCCGAAAAATTCATTTAATTAATTTATAAATTAACAAGGCTCGAGGCTCGTTTCACCATGTATCAGAAAATATCCTACCATTAATAAGCAAAAGTTTTGAAGGCAGTTAGATAACATTATCAAAGAAAGTCTATAGCTATATTTTCTATAAAAAAAAAAAGAGAACTCGGATCAACAAAAGAAAGAAAAAAGGAAAATAAGAAAAAAAAAATTCGACCCCTTTTGCGCGCCTTGATCAGATGACGTCATCGTCTCGTCCCGCCAAACCTCAAGCCCTAATTGCCAAAAACAAAACACACACCCCCTTCTCCTTCCAACACCCACCCTCTCGAAGGAGAAGGAGAGGATCCTCAGCTGCGCAATCGCCGATCAGCTTCGCCTCCGCCCATCTCCTCCTCTAGGGTTGTGCCGCCGCCCTCCGCCGGCGCTTCCATCTCGCGCGGCAATGGCTTTCTGGGGTTCGTAGCTTCCTTTTCTTCTCCGCAACTTTCGCTTTCTTCTTTTCTTCCTTGTCTATTCTTTTTCCGCGCCTTTCTTCTTGATTTCATTTGCTTCCCCTGCGCGCGAGAGAGAAAGCGCGGGGAGTGGAAACGGGGGGATTTCTTTGCTCTCTTCCTTTTACCAAATTGGGTTTCCCCTTGATTTGAACTGTGGAAATTTCAAATGGATAGTCTGTAGTTGAGCTCGCATGTCGCGAGCGAAGCTGTTCATTAGCCCGTGCTGGATGAGCGAGCGTAACGTCCTTGGCTGTTCAGGTGTCGAAGTGAAACCCGGCAAGCCCTTCGTTCATCCGTCGTCGAACGGGGCGAGAACGAGGCTCCATATCTCGCAGGTAATGAATTGCTGAGAATCTTTGTTCGTTTGCTCTGTTTTCTTGTTTTTTTTTTGTTTTGTTTAATCGGGTGTCGAGTGACTTCGCGGCGCCGCTTTTGATGCTTTACTGCGTGCTTTATCGAACCCAGTTGTGTGCCCGGTGTCGACAGCTGAGGGAAGAACGTAAGTTGATTATTTTTTTGTACCTTTTGATTGTTTTTAGTCGGTAAAGTGACATCATTTCGGACAGGCGACGCTGGGGATCGGTTCCGCCACGAACAAAAGTGTAGTTCAGTGTAATGTGGGGAACAAGAGCCCTGTTTTCCTGTGCTCTTTGTTTCCCGACCGGGCAGAATCATCCCAGCTGAACTTGGAATTTGAGGAAGCTGAGGAAGTCATCTTTTCTGTTGTGGGCCCTCGGAGCGTGCACCTCTCTGGTTTCTACCTGGGAAGCGGTCGACATTACGCCGGAGATGATGAGTCGTATCCTTTTATTAAGCCCTTTAGGTTTCATTCCATATCCTAATGTATTCTTCTTGAATCATCTTCCAATGAGATTTTTTTTTAATAACTAAAATGAACACGGAAGAAATTTCATTTGGTTCAGATGAGTTGTTTTAGTTGATGAAGAGGATATATTTTCGTGTTTTTTTAATTACATAGAAGAAATGGATTAGAATGTTGTTTCATCCCATTTATTATTACTCCTGAGGTCTTCCTCCTTTACAATGATCGTTAGAGAATCGCACGGTGAAGACATTGCAGGGACCGATACAGAGAGATCCAATGATGAAGATGAGTATGAGGATAGTTTCATTGATGATGATGATGATCCAGAAGTATTTTCACCTTCTCCTTCTCCGTCGCTAAATGATGCCGGTACTTCAACATTTTCCTGTTTCTTCTTTATTTACACTGAACTTTGAGGGACTCATTAGTTTCTCAATCAGAATGATACACGTTATGTATTTCAGTGCAAAGCACATTCTAACTTTCGCTGATTTCACCTTGTGGCCTACGTCTAATAAGGGTTTGGTAGTTATCTTCCTTAATTATGATCCTATATTTTAGTACTAATTCAAGACACTGTTAGAGAAAAGACTACTTAGATGTGTCAAATTGTATCCAGCAACTTTTTAACTGATCAATTGGTGTCCTTGGATTATCCCATTTCATCTCACATGCAGGATTATATAGTTGTAGCTTATAGCATTTCATATGACATATAAAATACAGTTTGCTTCTCCTTGATGCTATTTTGCTTGGTTGCATGTGTACTCCTTTTCAGGGTTAGATACACAGAGACCCCCCTCAACTGGGATTTTTCAACACCTGGACAATATTGCCAATTAATCACCTTCCAGTTATTAGTTTTGGTTGATTGAGAAGAGCATGTTGCGTTAGTATAATTTTAAGCATTTGGAAAAAAAAGGAAAAAAGAAGTTAGGAATGTTGTCATCGAATTCTTAAAAACTGAGTGATCAAAAGCTGGAATAGCTGCCAAGAATCTGCGGCAATTGGAAGATCCATATGTCAATAGCTGTTTCCAACTCTGAGCTTGAATTGATTTTTGCTTCTGCATGTCAACTTTAGTTGACTGAGTTTTGCAACAACATTTAGAAAGGGCAGATGAAACAAAAAATTTTCTCCTGCCTTCCTCTTAATAATGATCTGAGATTTTGTTCGCCATGTTATTACAAATACATCAAACTTAGTGATCACAAGATCGCAAATATGCATTCTTAGCAAATAGTGTGAAATTGCAACCTGTATATTGTTCCATGCAAGGTTTTCAAGGTTGAGAAATCTTACCCTTCATCCTGAATTGTGAAATTACCCCATCAATTGGGATGAATTTTCATTTCATTCTGGCTATGCTGCTACAAATGGAACTCGTAAGTTAAGATTATTTAACCGTGAGAATGGGTGTTACTGCACTAGGCAAAACCTCTTAGAAGCATTATTCATGTTCTTCAAACCTCGGGTTTCCATCTTGGGTAAGAATGACGGTGGAAGGTTGAGATGCTAATGACGATGACGTTTGTTCTCCTTTGGCCTTCTGAACAGAAATAGGAGCATGATGGAATGTTGGAGGGTTTTCTATTGATGCCTTCGCTCCATTCTAGTATAATTGGTGAATTAACAGAAAATATTTTGAGGATGTGAGAAAATAAAATGACTAGTCGAGGGATTTGGAATCTTATACTTGAAGATGAGGGGATCTATTTGTTCATGTGCTAAAGTTTAATGGGTTGCTGTTTACCTAATCCTTATCTTTTTTTTAGCTGTCCCATCCTATCTTTTGTACTATTTGCATGATGTAGCAGTATCTTCCATTCATGGTATTTTTGTTCTAAGGTGTTTGTCTTATGATATTGTGATTACAGTACATGATGATTCAGATAGTGGAAAACCTAGGGAGAGGAAAGGCAGGCAAAGAAGACTTAGAAAGAAGCACCATACCGTTGAATCTGATAAGGAAGGTAGTTTTCAACAACATAACATAGTTGATGGCAAGACCAAGGCACAGGCATCAGAAAGTGAAGCTGAAGAGGCCTTCTTTATATCCTCCTTTTTAAAGAAAAAGTCTGCAGTGAAAGAGTCCAAGATAGATGGCCCAGAAATGTATCCAGAGAAACAGCAAAGGTGACTGGTGTGGAGAATTAATTATGTGTCATGCTAGATTTTTAAAATCTTGAATAAATTATAATTTGTCTTTTGAAGTAGGAGGTTCTTTGTCCATTATTCAGCTGTCCCTGTGTATCATAATGACTTTCTATCTCGTCTCCTAGAAAGACAGATATCTTTCTTTTAGTCCCTTCTGGAATGCAAAATGCCTATGTATTATGAGTACCGTTATGTCTGTACATTTGACACCTTGATACCTTCTCCAGTGGACTCCCTGAAGTTGGCACAAATTTGAAGAGGAAGAGAAAAGAAGAATTTATAGAGTGCCCTATTGAAGTTGATAAAGCTAATAACCATGATAAGCTCAATGAGAATCTGGCCCGGCAAGGTCAGGTCATCGCGGCTGCTGATAAGTACGTCTATTTTTATGCTTTGTGCAATATATATATGTACATTATCTGAGCCTCCGAGAATTTTCTGTGCCATGTTCACTTTGAATCCTGCATGATGCTTAATACATAGTTTTGGGGGGTTGAACTGGTCCTGGTAATCTATTAATCAAGCAGAGAAGCTGGACAAGTCAATGGTTTGTTCCCGACATCTCATGAAGCTGCCAATGAAAATTGTTTGAAAAAGAAAAAGAAGAAACGTGGGAAAGGGGAGAAGGCCCAACAAGAAGAAGAAGACATCGTTGAGAACAATGTAAACCCAGTTGTCACAGAGTGAGTACTTCTTCATTCTTTAGGCCTTTGCCAAACCCGCTGAATTCATGAGCATGCAGCTATAGTATAATATTTGCCAGGTGCATGAAATGTGATGCCACGTGCAATATTCATCAGGTGATAATTGGACTTGAAATGAGTTTGAAATTATGAGAGAAGCCTGAACTTATCTTGGCACAAAGGTACTATAATGATTTAGAAATGCTTTTGGAATTTGAACTAATGTGTTTTTAGAATCAGAACTATTGTGGCACATAATTACGACTTACAAACTCTAATGATGAATCTGTAAAGAAAAGAGTAAATCTCAGTTTTCCATCTGCAAAACATTTCCATCTATGGGATTCTTTTTAAACCCCATTTTTCCGCTAGTAGGACCTCTAATGTTTTTATTTGAACAGTTCTTTTGTAGTAGCCTCGAAAAGTCATGCTTTATAACTGTTTGATATGCATAAAGCAATAGTTTATGTGCATGATGTATAGGAATTTGGCTCCTGAAGCTCAGCAAGTTAATGATGGAGAAGATTCTGAGAAGAAAGACATAAAAAAGAAGAAAAAGAAGCATAGAGACCAGCATAGTGAGGTGGACATAATGAACGAAGAGAATGTTTTACTGGCAGACAGAAAGGTCAAATTGGACTCCAAGATGAAAGAGGGGGATGCTGATGATGACTGCCGAGTTAGGAAGCTGCCGAATGGGCTAACAATTGAGCAGCTTGACAAAGGAAATCCTGATGGTAAAGTTGTTGCTCCTGGTAAAAAGGTAAGCTGTGAAATATTTACTGGAGTTGATCCGACAGGAATTTTGTTTCTTTAATCGTTTTACGCACAATAATAGTTAAAGCAGTGATATTTAGATCAATTTGTACTTGGGTTCAGATTAGTGTTCACTATGTTGGCAAGTTTATGGAGAATGGGCTGGTATTCGATTCAAATACCAGTGGGAAACCCTTAAAATTCCGCCTAGGTACGTCTTTCATGGGATGGCAATATTTTTTTGATTAATGTACCTTAAATTTATTATCTGGAATGGTCTTACTCTTAAGAGTAATAGTGCAACTTTTCAAATCTTCCTCTTGTCTTACAAGTTTGTTGCTCCATTCAGGTTCTGGTGAAGTTATGAAGGGTTGGGATGAAGGCCTTGATGGTATCACTTCTAGTCATAAATCTGTTTCTTCGTTTATCATTGGTGATGTAAGTCATTGCTAGTTTGTATCATATGCTTGGATGATTTTTGTTTCTCAGGCATGCGAATTGGTGGCAAAAGAAGGCTTACTATACCACCATCTCTGAGGTACTTATTGTATCTTCGAACGGTATATGTTTCCAGTGTAACGTTATAATTGCCTCGATGTAACTGTCTGATCTGATGCAGCTATGCGAATAAAGGAAGCAATCATAAAGTTCCTTCGGATTCATGGTTGGTCTATGACATTGAAGTGGTTCGTGTCCGGTAGAGGAGTCCACTTTTTGTCCTGGATATTTGGCAATCTGTAATTACACACTAATTCTTTTGCGCCAGAATAGTAGATGCTTGCTGGTCGTATGATACCCCATTGTCACGGGAATTTTGTGGCAAGCATCTGCTGATAGTTCTATGGAAGAGCATCGTTTTGCAATGGCATAGAGCACTACTGTTGAAAACAGGATGATGTTATAATGCCATTGTGCATTTTTGTGTACACACTGCGACGGCTTCTATCACATTCAAAGTTTGAAAATACTGTATTTTCTTACATGCAAATTAGATGTTCGAGACTTGAACGTACCTAATGAGATTTGTACGATGAATTCAGTTTCTCTTTTAATTCTCGAGATAGTCAGGAACGCTAGGCGAGTGCAGCATTCTGTCAATTGTCTACCAAGTATAGCAACTTAAGTAGAAGTTACAAGAGGCCAACTGATGGCCATGAAATTTTAGTCAAGAAGATATAACCATCGTTTTCAGCTTCATCAAAGTGACTCCGGCTTTGGGTTCCTTTTCTGGTCCGGCAAGGGATATACAATGGAGGCGAGGAACAGATTGCCTTCCGCTATAGCTATTCTCATCCATGCCATGCCTACACTAAGCAGTTGCTTGGAAGTTTGGTAAAACACGGCTTCCCACGATTCAGATTAACCCACCAAAGATCAGCATGATACCCCGGAGCATCATCGGTGCCCTCGTCGTCCAAAAACCCAGACACAGTACCTCGAAAACGACCGCCGACCACAACAGTAATACCCCCTCGCACTAATGTCCAACATTGCTGCCATTCTAGTACAATGTTCAGAAAGAAAACGACCAAGACATCGCCGAGCTCCCTCACGAGGGCTTGTGACCCAAGTGGGGGCACCAAAGGTGGTGGGACGTTGGCCTGGTCATCTGGGCCGGGCCGGATGTGGCTATCCACTGGCCCTGTCCGTTGAGTTTGGCCCATGGGGCCCGGAGGAAGGTTTGGGCTTCGTGGGCCTTAGAGAGGTGGGGACTGCGCAGGCTGGCTTCACAGAGCAGCGACAACCTCCCGCTCCCGGCAGTGGAAGGATAACAGGCCAGAGCTGTCAAGGCCCAACATGGCCCCCCGGTTTCCTTTCAATTGAAGGTCTATCAATTGACCTGCAGATTGGAATGTACTCCTCGATCTTTCAAGTGTTTTGCTATCTCTTACGAAAGGTAAACAACAAGAAATATAAGAGAATCGTTGGCTACCAAAGTCAGAAAGATACCCATTTGAAAGAACCAATACGTTTGGAAAACTAGGAAACATCAGATGATGTCAGACGACATCAGCTTAGTGATTATCCTCCTCTTTCTCCCGAGCGTCGCAGAACATGGCCACAAAACTTAACTGGACCGACGCCGAGATTAGTTGGCTTGGTGAACTTAACAATCGTTCGGTGCCGAACGATTAATATTTCCGATCATCGAAAGCTTCTTCTATGTTTTATGCCTAAGTCCAGCATAGGCAGAACATGAGCATGATACACTGACATGATCATCACTCCTTTGGCTTTGCTTCCTTATGTTGCAGTTTACACAGAAACAATAGTTTTGAACTATATACAAGAGTTATACAATCAGACCATTTTACAGATTCTTATAAATGTTAAAAGAGATCCGCGTCCAACAAGGCTTCTCTACTCTACACAAAGTGAACTTTCAGCGTTTAAACCTCAGGATCTGGATTCCCCTCTCCACCAGGCTGCAATGCAGAGACTTCCTAACTTGGGTATCATTGGTTTAATCGGTAAATAATGGACACGGTGGAGATGGGCGGAAAAAGCGCTACGTTTACTTGACTAGTGCTTTAGCCAATAGTTCCGCAGCTGTGCCATGTGCAGCAATACCTCATCTCGACCCAGGTTTGTAACGCTGCTGGTCATAATCCACGGAGGAGCTGTGTCAAAGAAACCTCGTATCAACTCCTGGAAATCCTGAACATTTTCTTCAGGTCTCTTCCCTCCATTCTTTTTCTTCTTCCTCTTATCGCATTTGGTGAAGACTAATGTCATAGGTACCTAAAGAAGAAGCAAATAAAAATTTATACATACACTGCATTCAATATAAAGCTGTCTGACATGTTTTTACAAGAAGCGCCTTCTCCCACCATCTATGAAACAATTATTTACCTGATTTTGACCCAACCAGCTTGCATATTCGAGGTCAATTTTCTTTGCAGGAATGCTGGCATCTATGAGAAGGAAAACTCCAACTAGTGTGGAGCGATTTAGGAAATAGTTTTTGGTAAATTTGTTCCAATCTGTTCTCAGTTCTTGAGGTGCAGCAGCATACCTATTTAGAATACACAATTACGCAAGAAACTATAAAACCTAAAATTTCATAGATTAGAGAAAAAATCAAACAACTCATATGTACACACATTACCAGAGTAACATAAGTTTCACAACAGGCTAAACAAAGCATGAAAGAAAACAACCTCCCATAATTATCACAAGGTTCACAACCTAGCTAAAGAAAGAACATTTGGAACTATAGCTTCAGCCCTCAAGTTTCAAATTAAAAGGGAGTGTCCAAAGTTAAAGCAAACATTATGATTACCCAGACAGCTTCTGAAGAATATTGTTGAGCATATAAATCTCCAACTATATATTTTACATTTGGCCACCTAATTTGGCATAAGAAATTGCATTTTAAGTTGAAGGTCCATGTGACATTACTTAGAAGAAAGCCACTGAAGAGAAGAAACGAGACACAACAATGTGAGGGTGACTGCAAACAAGTACAGCATGGACAGTCACATCAAGTAAGCATTACCAGCAAGTTCAATCAAACACATTGATGATTTAGATAGTTCAGTCAAGAGAATATGTTAAGGAAGAAAATCGAAAGCAGCAAAGAGGTTGCCAGAGCATTCCATCTCAGGTTGGATATACTAGAAACTAGGAGTAGAATCAGTCAACAAAAACTTCAACAGATCATCCTGAAAGAGAAGTTAGTTGGACAGACAACATCTCTAATTGGAAATTGAGGAAACAAGGATGCGACACTGAGTATGAAATCTAGACCTAATTACGACCACAAGATCTGAATTTGAGGTCCCAAAACCTCAGATTTACGACAAGCATTAGCAAATTACTCCAACGGCACTCGATTTGTCGCGAGCTATATATCAAAAATAGCAATCTGTTAATGAAAATAAAAGTAATGAAGAGAACAGTTTCTGAGCCATACCCATATCCAGGCAAATCCACCAAATACCAGCTATCATTGATCCGGAAATGGTTAATGCATTGTGTCTTCCCTACATTAACATAGCAACAGAACACTCAAAAAAATCAACACAATATCTTCTAAATGAACCTCAAAAAACATAAAGTACACACAGCTGCAATTTCTCGCTCATCTTGAGTAACTCAAATTTCTTAATACAAGAAAAGAACTGATAAAGCATGAGAATTTTCTCGCTCTCAAAAGAAAAGGTCCTGCTCCGCCAAAAAAACAATTCAAGAAATGGATAAACTCGCACACAAATTCAACAAACCAGGCGAATCTCTTGCAAAAGTACCAGCATTTCTCTTCTTCCCTCGCATAGGAAATAACACAAACACGTAAGCCGCACTCACCGGGCTTCTTCGAAATGAGCGCCAGCCGCTTCCTCCGGACGAGCGAGTTGAGCAGCGCCGACTTCCCGACGTTGGACCGCCCGACGAGCGCGAACTCGGGCAGCCCGTCGGACGGGCAGTCCTCCGTCGTCACGCTGCTCTTGACGAACTCGGCCTGCACCACCTGCGCGTCCCTCGCGTACTTGCTCAGCACGATGTTCGACCCCTTCAAGACCCTTGCGCTCAGGTCGCCGCCGGCGGAGGGTACGTCGGTCTCCGGGGGGACGAAGAGGCGGTCGGCGGGTATCTGAGGGGCGGCGGCGGCGAGGGGGAGGTCGTCGCCGGCGTCTTCGAGAGACGGAGGCGGGGCCACGAGGGCGGACCGGAGGAGGGCGGCGAAGGGCCGCGACGAAGAAGGGTTGAAGGGGGGCTTAGCGCTTGATGGGTTGAGGAAGAAGAGAGGGATGGTGGGCTTGGGGAGGAAGATGGGGAGGTGGAGGAGCCGGGGAAGAAGAGACTGCACCGCCACCATTCTTGAGCTCAGGCTTCAGCTCTCACTCTCTCTCTCTCTTCTCTCCACTCTCTCTCCTCTTAAGGAACAAAACGAGATAAATGGTCCTTAATCCAACCTAGTCCCTGAATTTTTAAATTTTTTTAATATAATTCCTGAATTTTATAGCCGATGTATAATATCGTTTCTGAACTTTTAATTTGTTCAATGTTATTATTTTCATCTCTGAACTTAAATTGATAAAAGGAAAATATTGAATATTTTCATGGACGTGTATAAAATGTTTAGAGAGTACATTGAATAAATTAAAATTTTAAGGACGACATTACATATTGAATCAAAGTTCAGGGACCACATTCAATAAATTAAAAATTCAAAGGGCCAAAATTAAATGACCATTTGCGTCGTTATCTCTACTATATACATCAAATGAAGGTCAATATACATACATGTCTAGGACAAAGATCGGTCTGGCCCAAATGGGTGGGTCCACACTTGGAACCGGATCGATATTCATCGGTTCCAATGTTTGGGAACCGACGGCCCGAACGATCGATTTGGTTTGGTTTAGTTGGGCAATTCCTTTTGCTCACCCATAATTATTAATGCAAAGAAAATTTTATGCAGGCTGTTCTAATTCACCCTTGTTTTTAGATATTAACCATCAAATCTCCCACTAACCATCAAATCAAGAGCGGATAAATGTCGCTCATAGAAAAATTATTTTTACAATGACGATATTTGCTAGATTTGCTCTTCCAAATTTCCACATTAAGCTGACTTTAATGAGTACAAATTTGATCCAATACAATGAATGCGACCTTTTCAATTCATCGTGCAGACACATGCTAAAGATACCAACCATTGTAGAAACGCTGACATGTAAGACGGGAAATGGAAACCCAACAAATAGTGTTCAAGCCCCATGACAATCCGCACCACCGCCATGCACATCACAACCAGCGTCGAGAATCCCCGAATTTGCTCGAATTTGATAAATCCTGATCAAGTTGGGGGAAGAAAACCTAACGGGACATAATGCTTTTGCTCGAAGCAATGCATCTTTTCTTTGTCAAAAGAGACGTCAATGATGTATGAGTTTTGATTCAATGTCAATGCAACAAATATTTTAATCAAGTCATCTTTTAGTTGTAAATCTCGACAAACTTATGTCAGCATACATCTCCCTGTCAACCTTCTATTCCTTATCTGTTTTGGCTTAGATCTTGGATCAACCAATTAGCCATCAACATTACATGAATTATCCAATTTTCAAAGTCACAAGCTCTACCGTGTGATGCGTATAATCAAGGTTTTATGATGGAAACAAGTGCCCTTAAACTCGAAAACTTTTTTCGTTAAGCATGCCTCCCCAAATGCCTGCGCCGCTACATTCGGAAAAGCCGACGCAAAAGGAAAATAGCAAAAATGCAGAGCCAATTCCTTCTACTGATAAAATGCAAACTCTTAAGTTGAATAATGCAAATCAATACCAGGTAAACTGTTGACCAAATTCTTAACCACCACTGCAATTTACAAGAAAATCCTGTGTTGATTCAACGAAGATGTCACGTAAATTAGTGCAAGTAACCAGTAGCTTGCAAATTAAGTACTTGGCGTGCTCATAACACGAGGACAAAAAACATTCTCTGAGGTCCAAACCTAAAAGTATATTTTCGTCAAAACGACTGCAATAGTAATCAACCGGTTGTCACGTCCTTTAGCGACCATGAGCCACATTATCGGGTGACCCTGTATCCCTACATTGACAGAGCACAAAATCACACCTCAATTTGGGAAAGATCACCGGGTGCATGTTGATCTCAGATAACATATAAGGAGCCTTAGAAACTGGAACCTAATTAATATGTAATTTGGATGGACACAGAAAAATGCGTACCTTAACTCTCTTTAGCAGATCCTTCGCATTGGCATCTTTGATGAAATGATCACGTACAGGCTGCATAGGTAAAAATGAGTTATGACTTTCGCCAAGGAGCTATAGATAGACCCGTGTCACCCCTAGAGAAGTCTACAAGGGTTTCTGTTGCTATAATTGCAAAATAAGTGTGTACTCCTAACATTCGTGCGTGGAAATTCTCATGCTGTCTTTCATACTAGCAGAATATCATGTAGCTTGGCTCCTCATATTTGATGAGACCAATTGGTCGTTCGGGGTTCTCAACCGTTTGTGCCGGCATAAAAGATGCTCATGAGGATCGGCAGAGAGCTTACCTGAAGTATCTTATTCAAAGACTTTGAAAGGGCTGGTTTCAGATCGCCAGGATGCAAATCTCCACTTTCGTAGTCGACAACAAGTTCATCAAAGCTTTTAAAGGTCCTACACCGCAAGATAGCAAGAAAGAGAAACACAGTAATCAAAATACAATAATATTCAATTAGCACGAGAAAGTTGTAGGTGAAAAAGCAACAACATTTCAACATCATAGACAGCTCACTTGTCACCGCCGTGATCTGCAGATCGCTCGACTTTGAACTCATCAAACCACGGCAATATCATATATTTTATGTACTCCAAACAAGGGTTGCCTTCAACAATCTGAGGTGGACAGTATGCTTTTTTTATCTTCACGTTCACCTCAGCCTACATATGCCATAAGAAATTTATTATTCAGAAGACAAAATAAAAAGGCGGTTCGTCACTATTACACAAGGATATGCAGCTCTGTCAAAAAATTTTACCTCGTCATCTTCCATGAAGATAGATGAGGACGGATCACTTTTTGACATTTTTTCTTGGCCTTGCTGCAGACCAGGAAGCATATCTGTATCCCAAAACAATCAAGACCAAATAGCCATTTCAAACTTAGAAACACGACTGAATCTATGAGAAGAAAGAGAGTCGAACCATACGATGAGACAAAATAATAGGCTTATTCTTTCTCTTTATGTCATCACAGTACTCTCTAGCAAGTACATTCACCTTCCGTTGATCCATTCCCAGTTGACAAATGTCAGCCTGTTCAAATAAAAGCATTTTGGAAAGACATTTTAATAGTGACAAACAGATACAGCACAAACTTTAGTATACACAGAAAGCAAGGCTACCGGAATACTGTCCAGTTGTCTCAATCACGATTCACTGCACTATCAAGTACAACTCAGCACACACATTTTGCAAACAGTCATTTATGGTACTGGAGATCACAAATAGCACTTATAATTTGCATGTATTTGTGGGGAAGAGCGGAACCAAAGGTTCGGATACCCCACATTATCCAACAAAAAGATATATGAACTCATGCATACAGCATTGCGCTTGCAGTTTTTACAAGTTGTCATCCAAATATAGAATAAACTGCTAAGCATATTATCATGAGTGAAGATAAAAGCCAAGATTGTTTCTCTAGGAAGTCATAGACCAACTAACATAAGAATTGACAGAAAACAAGTATTTCAATAATGTCTGATGACAAAATACTATAAGTACCTTCAAGAAAAATATGTCAGCACATTGCATGCATGGGTAGAGAATTTGGGCCGCGGTGAGTTCATCCTGTTCGCTACGACCCATTATCGTTGAGCACCTAGAAACAAGAAAATCAATGAGCCGTGATCTATTATATCAGTCATGATCAACATAACAAGTGCAGGCCTTAGTCATATACCTGATTATCCTAGGGAGCTTGTTTCGGCGGGCAATGTCCATAACCAGTGGCCAGTATTCATGTGCCCTGGAGTTAATTTCTTCTGACGACCACAGAAATTCCACTTTATTATCTGTGAGATCCATGCCGACAGCTTTCCATATCTCAATCAAGTAGCGTCCAACTGTTTGGATTTTCTTCAAGTCTCCACCCATTTTGTTGTTCAACTGAGCAAACCAATCAGCAATCCATATCTTCACTTTGCATCCGGCAGAAGTCATTTTGTTCACATTAATCGTCTTCATGACTCCCTGCGCTCAAAAGGAAAATGAAATACGAACTTCAAAACTAATAAAAATACAGTCCCAACAAAATTTTGGCAATGATCCCCAGCTTAAAATTGAAAAGCAAGCTTTCTTTAGAAGTGCAAGCAAAACAGCAGAAAACAGTGCACTAAGTAACAAAATATCTCTGGAACTAAAATCAGTCCTCTGAATGAGTTAGCAGATAAGTCCTTCACACCAAGATATTTTTTCTCCTTGGAAAAAAAGGCAAAGAATAATAGTAAGGCACAAGCTACAATAAAAGCAGAGAGAGATGGTGTTGACGCACACAATAGGCAATGCTAGGCAAACAAATCAATGGAATGGCAATAAGCAAGCTTATTACATTTAACCACAAATCAGAATACATTAAATCAGCCTCAACTTGCATCGTGTGCATTTTCTCTCCTATTTCGCTAGATTAGGAAACCGAGCATCTTTCGAGTTTTATGGCGCAGAAAAAGGATTGCAAATCTGTCATTACTTTGAGACTAACTTTATAAAATGATCAAGGGTGTTTGGACATTTCTAAATGATACCCCATGGACAAAAAACTACAAACAGCATTGTTGTATAACAGGACCGTTTTGTCTCAAACTTTCACACTCGACTGGCTAAACAGTTTGGTGACAAAAACTGGGCCACTTAGCCCTTGACGGGCGTTAGAAATTTCCAAGTGCACATAATTCCCAAACAAAAGGCAGGTACCAGGCGAGAAACAAGAGTTGTTGATGCTACATCAACTAACCAATCTAGCCAAAGCATAACATCATCGCCAATGCCACGAGAAATCAAGTCAAACTACATAAGAATATACTATCAAACCATAATGGGCCAAATTGAGTGAGTCAACCCAACACAGGGAAAAACAAGACCTGAGCAATGTGCATCCTGCCGGATGGTTCGAACCCATCATAGCAAATGGGTACGGGCTTCTTGGTCAGGAGGTTCAGCAGCTCGTCTTCCTGGATGCACTCCTCCCCGACGCTCCTCACGATCCGAAACCTCTCCTCCGGGCTCATCCTGACCAAAACACACAGGACCCATCAACGAAACTCCCAACAGATTCCGCAAAACCAATACATACATATACATATGATCCTTTTCGTGCAAATTTCCAAACCGTGACGAGGTGGAATTCGAAGAGCTTACTGGGTGACCGCAGGGGAACTCGAGGAGGCGCCCCCTTCCGCCGGAGCATTGATGGAGAGAGATTCCATTTCATCGAGAGAGGGTTCCTGATCAGCTTGGTTTTCCATTGAGATGATGAAGTCTTCGGCAAAGAGGGGGGGACGGCGTCGGTGGCTTCGTGAGGCCGATGTAATGTAGTAGGGTTTGAGCGAGCGAGAGAGAGAGAGAGAGATTGATTTAGGATTGGCCGATACACATATAATTTAGGGTTGGCTGATATATATTATATATAACATATGGAAAAATGATTCGAATAGTCTCTTAATTTTGTTCCAATAAGTAAAATGATCCTTGAACTTTTTAATTTTTTCAACGTAATTTTTGAATTTTAATCAAATATGTAACATGATTCCCGAACTTTTGATTTATTCAATATAGTTTCAGAGCTTTTGGTACGTGTTCAATTTAATCCCTGAACTAGATAATCCATAGACCAGATTGAATCCGTGGATATAATAATTTATGGACTAGATTGAATATTTACTGACAATTTAAAGATCAACTGAGCAATTAAAAGTTAAGGAACAATGTTATACATTGAGCTAAAGTTTAAAAATCACATTGAACAAATGAAAAATTCAGATAAAATTCACGGATCATTATCGTGTCATTATCGTATATATCCATACGATTTATGGCGGATTATTAATTATGCGTGGAATCCACGCTATCCATGCTCAATCCGTGGAATCCACGCTATCAATTTGCTTAGAATTTATTGATTTAGGAGGGTGTAAATTAATAATAACGCGGCCGGGTAGCGCGTGCGTGAACGAACACTAGTATATATTCACATGATTCGGATGCGCTAGGACTGCAACGAGAAGTCAAACCAAAAACCCAACAAGCAACGGGAGGGCAGAAAAGATTTAGGGAGCTGAAAGAGACGTTCAACTTGATTACACAATTTAAGCACATCAGACACCACCATCATCCTTGAGATTTAACACAAGCAGAACAAACTGTACAAACAGCTGAGCATCATGCAGCTAGATATAATCTCGTCGCCGTCTATTTACAGTATCATCGCCCGACGTACAAAATGGTCGACGTGATCCCGGGATTGAAACTACTGGTCATGGCCATCGAAGAGACGACGCTAAATTCTCATTCCGGCTGCGGTTCCCTTTTCACCAAAAAGCTTCCGGCCTCTTCCTCCGTGACGTCGCTGCTCGCGTAAAGAGAACGATACATGAGCATTGCGTACCAGCCAAACCGAGAGGGAGGAGGATAAAGAGAGGAGGATGAGGCGGGAAGATCTGATACCTGTCTATGGCCTCGGTTTTGGAGATCAATGTGATTCCTTTGGAGGCAAGGAAATCGCAGAAACTCCGAAGATCGTTCTCCAGGCAGAATTTGCAGAGCTGGTGCAAGAAATCATTGAACTGTTTCGGTTCCTGCAGAGAAGACGCATCGTAAGTCAGAGCAGCAATCATCAACCATTGATGCCACAACCAGCCAGATAGCCGATGGTTCAAATTCTTCCGACCATACATGCATAATAACAAAGGTGAAACGAACAAAGATCGTCCACGATGTATTATGGCATGCACGGCGAGTCATGTGGGTGAGAGTGTGAGCGAATGTAACAAGCCCAGATTGACACGAGGCATATTTAAGTTAGCACCGAAAAGTTCCCCCAAAATATATGGAAAAGCCAGCTGACACACCATTTGACAAAATGGTCAGATTCTAAAGCTATGAAGAGAGAAAGGGACGCAAAAATGGAACTCTTGGGGTCCCACGAGCAATTTTAGAGATAGTGAAGTGCACAATTGTTCTCATAACGTTGAGAAAAAGAAAGGTCAAATGGTCTCTATATGTGAAAAGGGAGCACAAATTACCAAGAACATAGTTTTCCTTATTTTACTCAAAATCAAAACAAAGGGAGTTAAAATGAAAAATAGTCGCATGTCAAACAACTACAGAAGAGAGAGAGAGAGAGAGAGAGAGTTAGTACTTGCTCAAGGATGCAACCCTTGCGAAGCGCAACCAGCAAATCCAGCGCTTTAGGATAATTATCTCCTTCATAGGAGTCCTCGATCAGGTCATGTATTTTGTTTTTCATTTCCGTTATAGCTCTATTGACCCATTCAGGGTTGTCTCTGCGTGACATCATCGATTCAAAATCTTGGACTGGCGTCAAATCTCCGATTTTCTCAACTTTGTCACCATTTTTAGTGAGATCAGCTTCAGTTTTGCTGGAAATGCGTCTGTAGTTGTCTTCATCGTCAGAACCAGACAGCTTCTCTCGCATTCGCCTCGTCGATTTCTTCAGCTACAAACCAGGAAAGATATCACCAAAATATATATAAGGCAAAATTGGAAATTTCTGTTTCAGAGGAGATATAATAAAACTAACCTTGGGTTTTTCCTTCACTTCAAAATGCCTAAGAAGTGAATCGATGGCAGATTTTTTTTTGGCAAGAAGTTCTGGATCAGGTTCAGTTATTCTCTTGAGAGTTTTATCAAGTGGCGGAACAGCTGCATCCGGGTGCTTAGACTTCAACTCAAGATAATTGTAGAAACGCTGACAACATGTGGACAAGGGGAAATAGCTTAAAAGAAAGAAGTTATAACCCAGAAACCCAACAAAGCATACAGTTCAAGATAAGTTAGCAACAGCTAGTGAATTGAAATAGAGCACCCATTGGGTACTCTGAGATAATAGTGAAAATAATTATCACTCCTGCATTCACGATTCACTCATCGCAATATAACCAAATATACATCCGAATTGTAACCACTTAACCTCCATTTTACAAGACAAGGTCAGGCATTAAGACACTACTACACTGCTGCCGGATATTACATTTAGACCCAGTCTTTAAGAGATGTAAGTAAACACTCGTTCGGAAAGCCAAATTCTGAAGAAAGAAATGACTTCGCATTCTTACTTTTGCTCGGGAAAATTGACCAGTCCAACCACCTCCGAAGGCCATGTGGATTCTTAAGTAGTCCATCAGGTTTAATATAAGCTACTGAAAGGTTTATCACAAAAGTGGGAAAAGTTGAATCTTCATACCCCTTGAATACAAATGTCATAGAGAACCACCAGTGACTGTTCACATTAACACATACTTCTAATAGACAGAAGTTTGTAAGCCAAATCTAGAAACATATTAAGCTATTTGGAAGCATTTGGAATTGTTAAGATAGGCTCGTGGAAACCCACAACTGCGAAATTACCGTAAGTCAAACTGATGTTTGTAAATTGCAAGCAGGTAATCAATTCATTTGAAAGCAAGATAAATGGTATGGAATGGAGCCTATCTGGAGGAGGTAAAGTAAACTGTAATTTAGCTAAAGCTTATACCCATTTAAAGTACCGTACGAAAAAACTAGACAAGCGATCACCTCACCTCCAAAACAGGATTCGGTGTAAAATCAGGCTGCAACATTTCCTCTTTATCAGAAGGTGCAAGATCCAGCATTTTCACGAAGTTATCTGCAGCCTCCTGTTGCTCTTCATCTGGCAGTAATGAGGCTGGAAGATTGCTGAAAGAGGGGAATTGAAATTCCCGAACATCCTCAGCAAAAGGAAGTATATTGAAATAAAATGAATCAGGCTGCACATAAAAAAGTATGCGCACGTTAGATGAAGCCTCACACAAACAAAGGGGGAGAAGATCAAAGAACTATAAATAAACAACTCTATATTGAAACATACTATGTGATCATTGTCAGAAACATTTGGAGTCAAAATCCCCACGACAACATTCCCTTGCCCTTGTCTCCACACACATCGTAGAATGGCTACTTTATGCATTTCCTTCATTGCTCTAGCTAAAGCAGAAACTGCAACAATCGCATTCTGGTCACCAGGATCAGCGATGAAAATGTTCACATCCTTCATGTAATGGTGCCTAATACGTTTACAGAATAATCGATCAAAAAGGGAATATATGAGACTTGTGACTAATCATCTTTTCAAACCAAAATAAACATATAAGAAAGGCAGCTATATTGTACCTCATGATATTTGAAGAATCTGTAAATCCCAAAAGCTTCACACTCTTGTCAGGCTTGAATTTCACAGCATCCCATTCATCAGCAGATATTGGGACTACTTGAGGTCCATATCGATAACCTTTAATCCTTTGTTCTGGGGGAACAACTTTATTAGCATCTTCAACACTCTTGTACTCATAATCTACCTTGACTTCATGAGAGGCAAATTTATCAGTTGAAGGTGCTTTATCTGAATATTTCTTCAAAGTTGGAAACTTCTCCTCTGATGTTTTCTTGTAAACCCATACCTGATTACATTTCAAGTTCAAAACCCCATCATAAATTCTCTTATTTCCTAGGGAGTAGCGCAAATGTAAAAGCTTAACAAAACCAAATGCAGACGATGAATCATTACACCAGTGGTGTCAACAAGCTGTGACACAAATTGCCCCTTCAACAACGAAAAATAGCAATTACATAGCAGCAATCAGAAAATTAAAAAATCTAAGTCACATTGTCAAAATTTTAGCTGTCATCTTGGAAATAGGCCTAAGTAGGAACATTGAGGACAAATCATCCTCATTGTGCCTTCTCAAATGTCATAAACTTGTGATCTTACAACTGGAAATAAGCAGCCAGCAGTTGTGCAGCTTCCATAAGTAGAAAATGTACATAAAATTTCACCTGTTATATAATAGTACTTTTTCCATTAAGATCAGAAAATGCTCACCTTTATCTTGAGTTTGGGGCTGATTTCAAGATCCCCTCTAAATATTGTAACAGGGGATATACTTCGAGTTTTAAGTGCACCCAGTAAAGAGGTAGAGCTCTCAACGAAGACTGTCTTTGCACGGGTTTTCTTTGGAAACAGATTCAATAGCCGATCATTTTCCTCCATCACAGATACATTTTCACCAAGGACTACACTTTCCCTCACAACTACGCATTCCAATTTCATGCCATGTGAAGTCATTTGCTCGGCAATGGCATTGACCTGGTCTTCTTTACTTCCCTCATATGGATCCTTGATTGGAGATAAACCGTTAGTTATTATACACATTCGTTTCTTCCCCTTGTTTGTCGAACTATATTTCTTTATCAGCATATCCATCCCAACCACAATTGCATCAAGAACTACAGAGCAGTCAAGGCACCAACAATGGAGGGTAACCAACAACATCAAACACAGCTAATAAAGACATTATACAAGTCCTGGTGTATTTCGTCCTGCAAATGATACTAGG